GATTCTCTTTCCGCGGTGTCACCCTCTATGGCCTGTCAATATCATTTCCATGCGGTACTCTGCTCAATCGGAGCAAACGATCTTCATGCTCTCAAGAGGTACCCGGTCATGTTGACGGCACCTGTCATACCTGAAGGTAATGCTTCTGTACTCTTGGGCGATTCCAGGCCTGCCCCGAACCCTCTCCCGAACCCCCGTGTTGCGGGTGCCGACACAAGCCAGCGCCCTACGATGAACCCTACCCCGAACCCACGAAGCAGAACCCCAAGACCTACCCCGAACTCTATCCCGAACCCCCCTGTCTTCACCTTCCCGGCCTCCTATACTTTTCCTTCTTATTGGCCTCAAAAGTACACTCAACGCTAACATTGTCCCACCCGCTCAAAATCAGCATCTGGGGCCCTGAACCTGGGCCTAGGAGCACTGAAGCGACCGCATTCGTCACTAGGGTGAAGGAACGGGGCGGGGTTTTTCTGCGGACTGGACATTGCTGTCACTCGCCACTCGCCCGTGGCTGGCGCCTATCGCTACATCCCCTGCTGTGCAGCTGATGATCTTGTCGATGACGCAGCATCTGCAAGACGTCCTTTATCCTCGGGCTCCACGGAGCCGAGTGGGGGGGCGGGGGGGCGGCATCACCGAAGAACTCGAACGGCTGAAGATACGCACGTGAATTCCTTTTTTGAATCGCTTTCTTGATCATCAAGGCTCATGGGCGTATTGTGTGTGTGGCAAGTGTACGCCTCATTCTCGGCAATTGCCGAGAATGAGGGCACGTATGACGTCATCTCGTCATCATTCCCATCACCTCCACCATACCTTCCCTCTCTCATCTTCTTTATGTTCACCATGACCAAGTCGCTCATCGCCGTCGCCCAGGTTACCTCCCGCCCCACACCCTCCGAAACACTGCCACACATTCTTCCTCTCCTTGCCCAAGTCTCCGCTAGAAATGCTTCCATCCTCTTCCTTCCCGAAGCGGCAGACTACATCTCCCCCACACCCAAGGCCGCTGCTTCCGTCCATGCTCATCCACTGGACAAAGGGAAGAACCCCTTTCTAGATTCCCTCCGAGCTGGAGCGAAAGAACACAAGCTTTGGATCAACGTTGGCCTACATGAGCGCAGCACCGACCCATCCCGTTGCTGGAATACAAGCGTCGTACTCGACACGGAAGGGAAGATAAGGGGCGTTTACAGAAAGGTACATCTGTTCGATGTCGATTTGCAGGATCGGGGAGGGCCGAAAATCTTGGAGAGCAGTACTACGGTCCCGGGAGAGGTGATCGTCGACCCCGTGCAGACACCCGCTGGACTGGTTGGAGTACGCTCTCTTCTGACACGTCTCTTGCTGGCTAGCTGACAGCCTTCCAGCTGCAAATATGCTACGACCTACGGTACGTGCTCTCTCGTTCTGTCCTTATCCTTCTGATGGTTTGTAGGTTCCCAACCCCACCCACGCTCCTATACCCACGACCACACATCCTCACTTACCCAAGCGCATTCGCCCTCTCCACCGGGCCCGTACACTGGTCCCTCCTCCTCCGCGCCCGAGCCGTAGAACAACAATGTTATGTTGTCGCCTCGGCACAAGTGTATGTCCCATCGTTGTGATCATGGTAGGTGGGCCGCTGATTGGGGCAGTGGCGAACACTTTTCGGGTAGGGCGAGTTGGGGGCAGACGTTGGTGGCTTCCCCCTGGGGTGAAATCCTGGGGTACGCCTCCCGTTGCGCAAGACGTACCATCGCTAATGTACTCGACTAGTGAACTCCCCTCAACAAGTCCTACAAACCGCGTTCCCGAGGCCGAACTACTTTTCGTCGAGATCGACACCTCTGCTGTGGATAAGGTGAGGCAGGAGATGCCTTTGGAAGCGAGTAGGCGGAGGGCGGAGTCGACGTATGAGGAGGCAAGGAAGAGGCGGTTGGGGAAGGTTGAAGAGGAAAGGAGTGGGGTGGATACCCTGGAAGAGAGAGAGGGGGAACAAGTTGGGAGTATTTAATTGGAACTTATTAGATGTTTGTCTTTTCTGTGAACAGATGTATTAGATCTGTGAAGCGTCGAGAATCTTAGATACAAATGCTTTTCTGCATCTACTCAGCCAGCGGCTTCCACAGCCTGCAGACTACGACCCCCATCATCCCACAGGCTGCTGGCGAAACTCGTGCCCCTCACCGGTTCCTCTCACAAATCCACAGTACTCTTGTCATTCTTCCATCGACTCCTCGTGGATTGGGTTGTGTGTACGATTCTGTTTCATCCACCAAGGCCGGAATATGTTGTGAATAGGCAAGACCTTGCTGAGGACGGTCGAATACGGGACCTTCGGGCGATCGCGGCACGCCGTGCTTCGCAAAATGGTCTTGGAATCCAGGTATGGAGAGATAGGCGCCAGCCACGGGCGAGTGGCGAGTGACAGCAATGTCCAGTCCGCAGAAAAACCCCGCCCCGTTCCTTCACCCTAGTGACGAATGCGGTCGCTTCAGTGCTCCTAGGCCCAGGTTCAGGGCCCCAGATGCTGATTTTGAGCGGGTGGGACAATGTTAGCGTTGAGTGTACTTTTGAGGCCAATAAGAAGGAAAAGTATAGGAGGCCGGGAAGGTGAAGACAGGGGGGTTCGGGATAGAGTTCGGGGTAGGTCTTGGGGTTCTGCTTCGTGGGTTCGGGGTAGGGTTCATCGTAGGGCGCTGGCTTGTGTCGGCACCCGCAACACGGGGGTTCGGGAGAGGGTTCGGGGCAGGCCTGGAATCGCCCAAGAGTACAGAAGCATTACCTTCAGGTATGACAGGTGCCGTCAACATGACCGGGTACCTCTTGAGAGCAT